AATCGAATCTGAGTTGAACCTGGGTTGAGTCCGGGTCCGCGCCCTGCTATTATCAATTTTCGTGTCATTTGTGTGCGCGCGTAACCCTACCAATACGGGTGTCCTTCCTAGCAAAAGTTGACGTTCCGGACGTGTCGGCGCGGTCCGTTTCGTCATTTGGGGTCGTCCGGACAAACTCAGCGGTGTGCAAGTCAAATCAAGTCAAAGTCGTGTGTGATGCCGTGAGTGTGTGAATTGCGGCGTTTGCGAGTATTTGAATCACAAATGGGTTCACCTAAGGCCGTTTGATCCTATTGAAACTTATTTTTGAGCCCTCTACATGTTGGTCCTTAGCCCTTGCAACTAGAAGTTGAGTGCTTGGAACCACTCATACGAGTTCTTCACAAAAATGAGTTAAAAAGCGGTTAGTTGCGTGAAGTTCTACGGGAGGTGGGCTCCATTGCTAGTTCGCTAGGATGGTCAATAAGAACTCCTAAAGCTAGATCCTAGGTTCTAAGAGTAGAAGACTAAGACCTCACTAAAAATGAGGTCAACAGCTGCCTGTCCCTAAAACCCCTCAAGCTGCTGTTATACTTCATCTCAATGCCCCGGGACAGCCACTGCTGTTCTTGCCTTCCCAGCCGCTCCTTCCCTTCCCCTTTGCTTTCCAACCACTCTTTTACACCACCTGCCACCTTCCAGACCCTAATCGACCACCACCACCTCCACTTGGGATTCAATACTAATTGCTTTTATGTCATCTCTGTTGCAATTTCTATTTTTGTTTGTCTGCAATAATATGTGGTTTTAACTCCAGTATCAGATGTATTGATGATTTTCGATAGAGGACAATATGCTGTGATAAATTTTTGTGTTTTTTAATTTGTTCACTATGCAGATAGTGTTCGTGGTTTTGTATCAGTACTCTAGTGTTTGTCTATAATTTAGTTAAATTAATTAGAATTTGGTTGAGTGGGTTTTTTTATATATGATTGAGATTTTATTTTACATCATTATTTAAGGTTGAATATTGGCACAATAAGCTTCAACTTGTATTTCTTTCTTCACTGGAGAAGGTGTGAAATTGAAATTTCCAGAAGTAATATTAAATTTTCTTCATGAAATTTGGAGACTTTGAATTAGAAAATAAGAGATTAGTGAACACTGTTGTTATAAAAATAATAAATATCACGTGTTCACTAGATAATAAATGGTAAGGGAAAAAAATCAAGGTCATTGGCAAATGTTTAATAGTAATTTTAATTTAAGGGTTTAGGGTGAATATGCTGATTGTTGAGGTGAGATTGTAATGAAGAAAGTGCTCAATGATAATCTTGTTGAGGTGAATATGCTGATTGTTGCTATCCGAATTATTATTGCCTATGATTTTATAAATACAGTGAAGGCTCAAGTAAATTGAAGATTGTGTAAAAATTTAATTTTGGGAACATGTGGATGGACTATTACAACATATATACAAGAAAGAAAGAATATTTATTTTGAGGAAGCTTAAAGGAGTGCATAGTTTCTAACATGATGGTGATTAGAAAATTTT